GGATTTATAGTTTAAATGTATACTTTTACATAGCGTTTTATTGAAAACAGAAATAATTAGGGCGTGTCCGAGAGAATGGGGTTTCGAATTCAGCCTGCCAAATAATCCCAGTGTATTAAATGGTAACTTGCGCACGTTTAAATCTGTCGGGGTCGCTAAGTTCTCCAAGTTCCCACAACAAATCAATACCTCTAGGGGTACTGATCCAGGAGTTTATTCGTCTTCTGGATTGGGTTCAAAATAACAAGTCTACAGAGTTGAACATTAGTAACTAAAAACTCTAATTTGAATCGGCTGTTCGACGACGGTTATAAAATTATAAAATTAATACTATTTGTAAACTTTGAAAGTCAAGATAAGTGAATTTCACCTTTTATCCCTAGGAATTCGTTTTGTATTGCAAAATGGATTTGTCGAAGAAAATTTATTAAAATCATTTACTCTCTGTTATTTTTTGTTCTGAGTGGAGAAGAGAGTTTTACATGAAAACTCTAAGAGTCGTGTGAGTATTACTTGCTGAAATCATTTAAGGGACTGCGGTTGATGATTCTAAGAGGCATTTAAGTAAGTGTGGAAGTAATAAAAATTGTGTTTTTGATTTATTTCTCGTCTACAAGATACCAATTGGCGAAATATATAAATCGCCAACGCTCATATTTTAAACTGCATTATTGACTTTTTAATATGCTTCCAAAAACTTTCTGAGATTTTCTAAGTTTGTCATCCATTCCATGTTTCTAAATGCACTTGGAACATTCGTCCATTTTGAAAACACCCAAAGATTGTCACTTCGTCCTCTGGGATTTCCAAAATTTGAGGCTAGGCAAAATTACTCAATGTTGCACAGTTAAATAAGGTTAAAATAAGAACTATTCTAAGGAAATATATCTTTTTTAAAAATATAATTTAGAACTTTTTTTCTTCAAGATTTTCATTTATGTGACCAACTTCCAGCATTATCTTCCTTCGGGTAAATTTTCTAATGCGCTATTTTTTGCTTAAAAACCACAGTATCAACAACCTTCGTAACCCGGTGGCAAATTCTTAAGAATAAGAATTAACATTAAATTATATCCCGCGAAGATTTTTAACGGGTCTCCCGCTGTACAAACATATAAAGTTCATTTCTCCTTTGGTTGAAGTTCGTATTTTTATTTTCAAGAGGCAATTTTGATTGTCATTATCTACTCGATTATTGAACTTTAAAGAAATGCGTTTAATTTTTCTTACATTCATTATGACGATTCGTTTCAATCATGAGGTTGCATTTCATAAGAAACATTACATACACTGCATGAAAAACATTTCTATTGGATTCCCAGAACGTATAATCTTATGTTTGAAAATCTAATTTGTGCGATTTAAGGCCCTTTAATTTAATTTTATGAGCTTTCGGGGCCATTCAAATATTGCGTAAGCATCTATGGGATAGGATACTGGGATTTGCTTACTTTAAGGAGAAGGGGGTTATGCGAGGAGCAATACATACGTAAGATACTACATTCTCCTAACACTTTGACGCGCATAGGATATTTTATTTTTAAAAACATTCTGACCCTCTAATTACAGGTAAAAATATATTTTAGCATTTCTTAATTATAGAAGCAGTCTAACAGTCACTAAAAAAATAATCACGGATTTTTAGAATTATATTTGTACTAAAATATAAAATCCAAAAAAAAAAAATTCGATTTCTTTTTTCATTCATATTTAAAAATTTACCAATAATTGAGATTGTAAATTAATATTTTTAATGACGAATAACTGTTTCCTAAATAAGTGCAAATTCGGGAAAAGATTGGTTAGAAGTGAGCCTGGTTTAAAATATTTTACCTTCAACGCAGAAAGCGATATCGGAGTTTCATGCTATAAAATACATTCCGTACACTTTTAAATTAATGCTGTACCGTACAAAATAAAATACCTTAAACATATTTTTACTGAAACTGAAACTTATGAAGGTTTTATTAAAACCTGAAGATCAATCGCAAAGTATCAATTTCCTTAGAAATCCCAATAGCAATATATTAATAAAAAAACTCTTACGAAATATCGTAAATACCATGTTTTACAATAAGTATCGATATATCGTGTATGATAATGCGGCGAGTCGATATAGAACTCAATGAATATATTGTTATCTATAATTATTGCGAACGATTAAATATTATAATGAGTATTGATAGAGCCGTGATGGCTCAGGGGATAGAACGTATGCCTTCCAATGAGGTGAACCGGGTTCGAATCCCAGCGATTGCTGGTAAATACAAATTCCGCATCATAGGGCTTGCACCGACCACAGTGCTGACGTAAAGTATCCTCAGTGGTAAACGGATCATGGATTAGAGTACCCTTGCGGGCAGACTAATCGTGGAAATTTCTCGTGGTTTTCCTCTCCATGTAACGCAAGTGCGGGTTAGTACCATCAAAAAGTCCTCAACGAAAGTGAATTTCTCCAAATATTTGATCCAGGAGTTCCCTTGTCCTCTGGATTTAGCTCAAAATTACAAGGATGCGGAGTTAAACATTAATAGTTGTAAACTGGAAATTCGATCGGTTGTTCAACGACTGTTTACAAAATAAAATAAAATGAGCGTTGATGAAATTCATTCGAGCAACGAAAATGTTAACAAATATAAGAAAAAAGCAAACTGGTTGAAATGGAAAAATATCACGATGTATCGAAAAAAATAATTAACAATTTTTGATCATGAATTACAATATTAAAGTTTGCAATATTACCTTTCACTACTTTTCATAAAAGCCAAAAGATATCTTTAAATTAGGGTTTATTAAACTGTAGATCGCGACCTAAATTATGGTCCAGGGACCTGCAGTAGAAGTCCCCAAAATGATATCAATTTTGATATTTCTAACTTATAATAATTTTAAATTTACCAATTATTCTTACTCAATGTATCTGAGAATAGATACAGATAAGACTTACAGAATTTACTAAAGTATTAAGTGAAGAATTCACCCAACAAATTTAATTTTTTATTTCATTTCTTTAAATTTGACCTAACACTGCAATGGTACTGTATATTACATTGCAATTGCGAAGAAATTGTCAATTTCTTTCAGAACACAATGCGTATGGTATACCACAAAATGCTTGTAAATATTATATGGTCTTCATACCTAAAAGTTTAAGAAATCCTGCTTTAGATATAAAAAATCTTTAAAAAAAAACTAAGACACCTTTAAATATACATAAAAAATCTATAATTATATATTTCGTTACCCAAATGAAATGTTGGTAAATTTCATTTGTGGGACGAAAATATTTAACAGGATCAAAATAATGAAAACAAGTTACTTGCAAAAATATTGCACTCTATAATGAACTATTTTAAATTTTTGGCGATGTAAAATTAAATACAAAAATTTCTCAGCATTAGTTTTCACTATGACCGAGAGTTATTCTTAAATCGAAAAATGATCAACTGTGTTACATCTTTGCTTCTCAAATTCCCAACTATTGAATTTCCCCCTTGCTGTAACCCATCCCAATATGGAATGAAGTTTAGAACGTCTGGAAATTATTTAATAGCATCATCTCCGCAGGGAGTTTCTAAAAGCATGTTCGAATACGCAATTGTGTTGTTTAACCTCTAGGATGTCTGGCCTCGACCAGTTGATTCTTCTCTCCGTACAGAAACAGGTATTTCAGAATATACTTTACGAACTTCCAGCTGAAGTTTTTAAAAAAATAGTGTTGATGAGACAATCATATGGTTTAGAATAAATATATTAAATCAGTCGTTATTGATTGAACAAATTTAAGAATATTCCAGCAATGTAGCTGTTTTAAGTGTCTCTAGTTTTAAATTGTGTTTTATATGACTTTTGTACCTGGAAAATATAGCTATGCGAGAAATATTATTTGATTTATGTGTGAAAAACGTCGATGTGAATACGCGTAGTAAATATGCCTATTAGAATTCACTACATGTACTTTTTTATGAACTACTGCCTCGTCCTTTAGAATTCGAAAGATATTTGCTAAGTAATTCGTTTCTGAATATTCACAGAAGACAAGGCCCAGAGTTTATCTCCCGGGCAAACTCCTAAACAATCCTCCATTTGCAAATTAGTAAAGTTTATTACATGTGCTTTTCTATGATCTACGTGTTACCAAAAAATAAGCTATTTTCAAGACCATTGTGGCATAGGCTTAAGGTACCGGAATATTACTAAATGGGTTGCAAGTTTGTGCTCTGGAATTACTAAAGAAGAACAATACGATCAGATACAATTTTTAATTGCTTGAATTATTTATAATCAAGACTATTTTTAACTAAGTTCGTAAATTCAAACACATTAAAATATATAAATGTGTTTAATTACTTTAACACTACCGCATGGTAATTTTTTGTAATGCTATATAATTATGATACCAAGGTTCAAAATCATAGGGCACACAATAATAAATGAATTTAATCTATTTAATTTCAGTAAGGCAATTAATTATGTTATTTACGGATTGATTGATTGCTTTTCGGCATTTTTTTCCTAACCATATACAAGCCACAGCCGCTGTCATCACACCCCTTCCATTGTTTTCCAAATCTGCTCCATCATTAAATCATTCATTTTTTTTCGCGACGAGCTTAATTTTTATTACGAAAACATCCGTTAATGCTTATTTTTAGGCATTTTTTTTTTATAAGCGTCGTAATAATAACAACAAAAAAAACTTCCTGCCTTCAATAGAATTCATCAAGATCATCGAATCAGGTAGTATATAAATGATCTTTGATCCTGAAAACGTTCGAAATCCGGTCAGTGCAGAAGCTAAGAACGTCTTTAATAGCTACAGGCGAAAATTCTAACATAAAAAATAGAAACAAAACGTGTAATAAAAGTTCTGACCGTGTATCTCATCTTAGATTTTATGACTACAAAACAAAAACAAAAGAAAATCTCGTGTGGAACTTGACCGCCGCGCCGTAAGGAAAACGCCACCTGTATGTGTGACGTCAGAATTTCAAATTTCTGTTATTATTTTTATTTTAGACACAGCGCACGTATGAGTTAAATTCGGATTAGAGAAGAATATAAAAATAATGATGGCGGCATAGTGTAAAATCCTGTTCGAGATATCTTTTCATTCAAGTTTCAGACGCCGGTTCGGATTGTTGTATCTTTCTGCTCGTGGTTTTCTTAAACGCTGGGAGTTTTTTGTGCGCGTAGTGTTTGTTCTTTTTTATTTTTGTGAGTGGCACGATCGACCTGTCAAAAAGTTGATTAAAAAATCATTTTGATCTAAAAGCCGGATTTGTTTATACATCTTTAAAGTAAGTGGCGTTTTTTTAATAACTATAAACGTGTGTTATTTTTTTCAGATATATAGCTTAAGTTTATTTTTAGATATAACTTTTTTTATTTATAATTTAATACCGAAAATATTTAAATTTGGAATGAAGTTTGTACTTACCTCTTCAAACAGATTTTGAAATAATAAATGTAAATTCATTTTATTTCAAGAGCTTCCATCAAAATGTTCAAACTGTCGAATTTTACCAAATAGTTTATGAACAGAAAATATTCTTATATTTCAGAAATATTTTTTTCAATATGATTTCATTAATAGAAGATGGTTCTAAGAAAATTATAAAATTCGTATTATGCCTCGTTAAAAATATTTTTAAACGTGTTTTATTTTTAGGATTTTTGATTACTGGAAAAATATAATCATACCCCTAATTAATCATACAGTATTAGCAACAGTTTCTTATATTAATTTCGGTGAAAATTTTATTGACGCCTCAACTACGTACGTGATTTTGAAAACGCTGTAAGTTACAACACGACTATTGCCTAAATATTGAAAGAACAAAAATATTTCTCTTTTTTTTATCTCAATAAATGAAAAAATAACTCATTTTACTAGCTACCTTAAATGCTGGCTTTTATTACAGGTTAAAAAATAGTGATTTGATTGCGGAAATCTAGTGTTCTATTTACTATTTAAATCTTAACTTTCTTCCTTGATTTATTGCCTTGATGCAAACGTATTTGTAGTCATTTATACATTCCAAAGACGCATAAAACGGTCTCAGGCGACCAGATAAATTTTGACGGTGTTGATGTATATTCAGCATTTATATTTAGTTAACCCTTTGAACAAGGACACTAAATTCAGAACAGCCAAAGATTTTATTTTTTGCACAACATCAGACCTTGTGTCATGCTACTCTACATTCAATCAGTCTTTCAGTGCCTTAAACAGTTGTTGTGTTAAAGAAAAAAACAACATAAATAAAGCACAAATGAGTTTTTTCATTTGTACTTTATTAACGTTCTTTTTTACTTTGGTCTACATAACACAAAGTATTACCCTTTCTTTTGTTGGAGTATTCGTGTTGTCCAATGAATAAATTTATTGTATATTAATATATTATTTTCCACTCAGTTGAACCATAAAAATTAAAACAGAGGGTTGCTGGTTAGCCAAATTTATTTTTTTAACTGGCTAAAAGGGTAATTCACTTTAAATTTCTTTAACCCTTCATAAGGCCGTGATAAGTTTACTTCAAGTTATTATTATTCAATTTTCATTAAATTTTAATTGAATAATAATAATTTGAAATAAATAAATAATAATTCATTAAATTTTAAGTGTCAATTAATTTAATTTTATTAATTTTAAATTTTTCATTAAATTTTAAGTTTCGTTTGGAAGCTATTTCCCCACCAATGTTTTATGCAGCCATTTGCTGATAAAATACCAATGAAGGGCTTTGTTTACATAAATGTAGCATAAACATAACAGTAAAGGATAGCGTGAGGTCAAGGGGAGAGAGAGAGCAACACTGAAGAGTTATTTTCTTTTGGGCATTATGCATTCGTTCCTTTGATCATTTTTCAGCGAAATTATAAATTCGCTTATTTATAAGCACAGAAGTTCAAGCTTATGGTCACTTTACCGTAAATAAAATTTCGAAAATCCAACCCATTTTTTCGCAAAAAAAGGCTTTAAAATAAAATTAATTTTAAGTTATAAGTTAAGTGATTATTTTTTAATAAATCAGTCTCAATCTCGTTATCAAAAATAATTCAAATACTATTACTGAAAAAAAATTGCTCTTTAAAGATTTAATTTAAATTTTTTTCTAAAATGACGAATCGAAATTTAAAATGGGCAAAATATTAAAACGCCTATCTAAGTCATCATAAATTATACTATTATACAGATTAATTTGATTATTTAGTCATTCAAACAATGTAAATTACTGCATAAACAAATTAATCCTCATTAACAATNTTTATTTCAAGAGCTTCCATCAAAATGTTCAAACTCTCGAATTTTACCAAATAAATAGTTTATGAACAGAAAATATTCTTACATTTCAGAAATATTTTTTGCAATATGATTTCATTAATAGAAGATGGTTTTAGAAAATTATAAAATTCGCATTATGCCTAGTTAAAAAAATTATTGTACGTGTTTTATTATTATTAGTATTTTTGATTACTGGAAAAGTATGATTATCATACTCCTAATTAATCATACAGTAATAGCAACAGTTTCTTATATTAATTTCGGTGAAAATTTTGTTGAAGCCTTAACTCCTAACGTGATTTTGAAAACGCTGTAAGTTACAACACGAGTATTTCTTAAATATTGAAAGAACAAAAATATTTCTCTTTTTTTATCTCAATAAATGAAAAAATAACTCATTTTATTAGCTACCTTAAATGCTGGCTTTTATTACTAGTTAATAAATATTGATTTAATTGTGCAAATCAAGAGTTCTATTTACTATTCAAATCTTAACTTTCTTCCTTGATTTATTGCCTTGATGCAAACATATTTGTAGTCATTTATACATTCCAAAGACGCATGAAACGGTCTCAGGCTACCAGATAAATTTTGATTGTGCTGATGTATTTACAGCATTTATATTTATTTAACCCTTTTAACGAGGACACTAAATTCAGGACAGCCAAAGATTCTATTTTTTCGACAACTTCGGACCTTGTGTCATACTACTACTCTACATTCAATCAGTCTTTCAATGCCTTAAACAGTGTGTTAAAGCAAAAAACAACGTAAATAAATCACAAATGACTTTTTTCATATGTACATTTTCATATTTACTTTCTTTTTTACTTTGGTCTTCATAACACAAAGTATTACCCTTTCTTTTGTTGGAGTATTTGTGTTGTTCAATGAATAAATTTATTGCGTATTACATATTATTTTCCACTGAGTTGAACCATGAAAATTAAAAGAGGGTTGTTAGTTAGCCGAATTTATTTTTTTAAACCATTAAAAGGGTAATTCACTTTAAATTTCTTTAACCCTTTATAAGTCCGCAGTAAATTTACTTCAAATTATTACTCAATTTTCATTAAATTTTAATTGAATAATAATTTGAATTAAATTATTATTAATCAATTAAATAAATAATAATTTGTTAAATTTTAAGTGTCAATTAATTACATTTTATTAATTTCTAATTTTTCATTAAATTTTAAGTGTCGTTTGGAAGTTATTTTCCCACATATGATTTATGCAGCCATTTGCTGATAAAATACCGATGAAGGGCTTTGTTAACATAAATGTAGCATGAACGTAACAGTAAAGGTTTGCATGTGGTCAAGGATAGAGAGAGAGAGAGCAACACTGAGGAGTTATTTTCTTTTGGGCATTATGCATTCGTTGATCATTTTTCAGCGAATTTATTTCTACACACAATTTTATATATTCGCTTATTTATGAGTACAGAAGTTCAAGTGCATGGTCACTTCTTTACAGTAAATAAAATTTTGAAAATCTCACCCATTTTTGCTCAAAGAAAGGTCTTAAAATTAAATTAATTTTAAGTTATAAGCTAAACGATTTTTCTTAATAAATCAGTCTCAATCTCGCTATCAAAAATAATTCAAATACTATTACTGAAAAAAAAATTGCTCGATAAGGATTTACTTTTATTCATTTTTTTCTTCATAAAATGACGAATCGAAATTTAAAATGGGCAAAATATTAAAACGCCTATCTAAATTATACTATTATACAGATTAATTTGATTATTTAGTCATTCAAACAATGTAAATCACTAGATAAACAAATAATTCCTTATTAACAGTAACTTAAACAACGAGAATACATTCATGAAATATTTAGGTAGATATTTATTAATTTACTTTTTACAATTTTAGTTTTTCTTAAAAGTAAAGCTCTTAATTTATGATGTATAAAAGAATACCCATTAAATTTTGGATTAGAATTCATATTTTTTTTTTATTTCTATATTTTTTGCCTGTTTTAAATTGATAACTTAGTATGATTTGAATATCCTCAACAATAGCAATGTAATGCACAATTATAATGATGTACTGATAAGCCACCATGGCTCGGAGGTTAAGACACTGAACTGTTACAGTGAAAAATCCTAGGTTCGATCCCCAGTAGTGGCTTGAAGCTCACCCAGCTTCAAATTGATGAGTACCAATTTGTCTGGAAAGTAAAGGCGACCTGTGCACAATGTTGATACATTGCCACATTCATGATGCTAGTCACGAAATTGTAGAGTCTTAACGTCCATGACCTCCCTGCCTCATTACAGGCTGCAGCGAGGAATGTTTCACTAATTATAAATAGTATCTGTAAATAAAATACGAAGTAAATCTTGATTTCTAAAAAATCTAATTATTTTTAAACAGTATTTTCATATAAAAAGAAAAGATAATAGATTTTTATTGTATCTCTAATGTTTCAGAGACTTACATGATTATGTAAAACTTCCAAAGTAATAATATTAAATTAGAAAGAAATGAACAAATATATATTTTTTCACAATAAAACAAGATTTCTTTTAACTGGTTTTTTTTTCAAACTAAGTACTTTTATGAGTTGAAGTTAAAGTTTATATTTATCCTATGCAAATTGTCTTGAAAAACATCACCAGAAAAACTATTTTTAGAGTAGTTGAATTTATTCTTGAAATATTTATAATAATAGATTTAAAAGTTAATAATTGTATAGACTGTCTATAAAAGTTCCTGAAATCAAAATATTGATTTTCGTAACAGGAAGGACTGACGTAGAAAACAAAACTAAATATTACTTATTTCGTCGAAGAGGATGTCTTGATGAAGTAGAATACATTAACCTTGTTTTCCTAAGCTGTGCATAACAACAAAAAGAAACCCATTTGAACGAAAATAACATGTCTCGAATTTTATATCTTTATAAAGAAAAAAAAACAATATCCTGCAGCTGTTAGTTTTTTCAATATTTTTTTTTAATTTTACGGATTGTTCAAATATTACGTAAACATATTTGGTG